GGGATGAAAGTCCAAATCTCACCTTCCCAGAAACAAGGATCCCCAGTTTCCTGGTTTCAGGAGACTCTGACAGGTCCAAATGCCCCCTAGGTAGCACTGAACAGCACCTCAAGCCCATTTTTCCACCTTAGTCCCAACCATGACCCCAGAAGCCAGAAGACACCCTGCCCTACTCCCCGCCCCTCAAACTCTAGCCAGGTCCAAACTCCTACATGGGCATGGGAAGGGGTGGAATAGGGAAAGGGCAGACCTCCTGGGGCTGGGAGCAGTGCACATTCCAGTTGGCTCCCAGAAGCTTGGGTGCTAGAGCCTTCTTCTGGCCATGTGCCCCCAACCCCACAGGGATGGGCTGGGAGAATTCTTATTCAGTCAACAAACATTTGTGGAGACCCCACTATGTGCCAGCTCTGGAGCCCAGCAGAGCACCCATGGACCCTCTTCTACTGTCTATGTCTGCACTGAGAAGGTAACTGTGCTTGGGTGTCATGTGCCCCCCACCATGTCACAGAGGACTCTACCCAACCTCAAAAACTTGAGTGCTCCCTGTAGGCAGGAGCTGTGCTGCCCCCATCAGACTGGTCTATACAACCTGCCATCCCTGAGAAGCCTCCCCCCTCACTCTCAGAGCATCCCTGGACAGGAGTGCCAGATAAAACACAGGACAACACCCAGTTCAATTTGAATGTCAGGTAAACAAGACATAACTTTTTTTGCTATAAGTATGTCTCAAATATTGCGTGAGGTATACTTAAACTAAAAATTATTCCTTGTTTATCTGACATTCAAATTGAACTGGGTACCGTCTGTTTCTGTTTGCTAAAGTCTGGCAACTCTATCCCCAGAGCTCATTCCTCCTGCTGGCTCCTGGCCTGGCCAGATGGTCCAGGTCCTGCCTGGACATGGCCCCTACCTGCCTGGTTACAGCTTCTGTTGGCTCCAGGCCCCACCTGCAGCCTTGCTCCCAGGTGGACACCATCTTCCTCCACCTGGCTGCACCACTCAGCCTATGGATGTCAGGAATGCTGTGTCCAGCCTCCCAGAGGGTGGTTCTGGAGAGAGGGACAGAGGTACAGCTGCAGCAAAGAGATCAGGAGCTTCAGAGACAAAGAAGGACAGAAGCCCAGAGATAAAGGACACAGAGACTATGCAGATAGCAACAGAGAAGAGAGAGCCAAGAGGGAGAGACAAAGAGTTTAACCCTCCACACACACTGCTTCAGGACACTGGGACAACTGGGAGGGTCTTAAGAACCCCCCAGGATTCATCTGGGTAGACTGGGGAAGAGGGAAGCCTAAGACCCTGAACCCCAACATTGGACCATAGGCGTTAGGAGACAGCTTGGGATCTCCAGCACTAGCAGGAAGGGTGGGAATCCATTCCGAGCCTCTCCCAGGGGCACACACAGGGACATTCATGGCTTCCCAGAAGAGCCCATGGGGCAGCCAGAGTGGCTTTTAAAATTAGCCTTGTTAACCAGATCTGGTTATTTCAGGAGGCTCCATCCTGGGCTGTCCCTTGGTAGGACAGGCCCAGGGAGGGAGGGAGGAACCTCCACATTCCAGGGTCCGTGGCTAGGCACCCCACGGCCTGAGCAGCAGAGAACGTCCAGGTCCCAGCCTCTGACACTGGGCCAGCTGGGCCTATGGCCACCTCTTTGACAAAGTTGCCCAGGGGTTGGTTATTATAGTCCAGATACCCCAACTGCAGAGTCAGGCCCTCATTTGGGGCATGGGTTCTGTGATGGGCACATGCAAGGCAACTTAGAGGCCTGAGAGTTCGTTTTTGGCCACAGGTGAGGAAGCCGACTGGGAACGATGGAGAGATCCTAGCTGGGAGACAGGGAGATGAGGATGCCAGGTGGGCCAGGAGCCTCCACTGGCTTCTCCCATGGAGGGGCCTCTTCCCTCTTGTGTCTAGCTGCTGTTTCTACCATCAGGGTTATTTCAAACAGGTCCTGGCCCTTCCTGGAGCCAATGCCCCCCACCTGAGCCCTAATCCCAGCCTCGTGTTGGTGACCCGACTTGCCCTCCACACCTCAGAACCAGGTTGGGTGCTGAGCTGGCATGGGGACAAGAGAAACAGCCCTGGACACTTTGATCCCAGAAGCTAGATGTGTCCTCATCTTCCTCTGGCCCCACCTTGGAGCGGGGGGGCTGAGGGGGCTGGACCCTGGCCCAGAGTCTTCCCTTCCTGCTGCCGGGCTTGGCACAACTGGGCAGGAGGGCGGGGCAGGTTCCACTCACCTAGCTGCCCACTCCATCTGCCCCAGCAGTCCCCACCACTCCTTCTCTGCTCTGGGGTGGACTGGGGTAGGGGTGCCCCATTAAATGAAGGGCTTCAAAAGGATGCTCACCCCAAAAGCCTGGGAGGCACAAGCAGGTGGGCCATCCATTCCAAACCCATCAGAACATCTGTGCTGGGCCCTCCAGCAGTGAGCAGACCTGTTTCTCAGAGGGCTTATTCATAGAATTCCTGCTAAGGGCTAATCACAACCACCCCTGCCTCCAACCCACACACTTGGTGAGACCTCACCCCACTGCACCCTACACCAGGTACCAATGAGGCAGGACTGTTATCTGTACTGCACAGATGAGGAAGCAAAGGCCCGCACAGCCAAAACTATTAGGTAAAGGAACTTAGCCCTTTCCCAGGAAGCTCCAAGCAGCACCAGTGGCTGCTGGCCCTGGTGGGGCAGGGAAAGGCTGCGGCAGGAAAAGGCTGGAGCAGAGAGTGCTGCAGAGTCAGCCAGGAGGGGCCCTGAGGTTGGGAACAGTGGGGTGGCTGATGGGGAATGGGTACACTAGGAGGGGACCACTGAGCCAGGGCAGCTTGGGGAAAAATCCAGCTGGGAAGAGCTGGGATTTGGGTGGGTAACAGCCCTGGGATGGCCTGAGGCATCCAAGATTCACATAGGACCTTTTCCAGTCAGGAAAGGCATGGTGCATCCCAGGGAGCCCCAGGGCTTATCATCTTGGGAAGGGGACAAGAATGGGGGAGGGACCTGCCAAGCTATCAGGAAAGCCAAGCACAGCTGACACACTTAGGGTTCAATTCAATATCCACCTCCAAACCCAAAGTCCCCCAACCCACCCCAGAAGCCTGCTTTTCTTGCGGTCCTGTCCGAGAAGAGAATTCTTCACTCACCCAACATCCAGGCTAGAATGCTGGGAGACTCCCCAGTCTTCTCCCGTGCCACAGTCCATCAGGCCCTTTGTCCAGTGGTTCATGCCTCCCAACACCTCCACCTGCCCACTGTGCTCCGGCTCCCCTCCTCTCTCCACTGTCCCCGCCCAGCCAGTCCCCAACAGCAGCCACCGCATCTCTCTATGGTGCCTCACTGCCTTGGCATAAAGCTGGGGCCCTGTGCCTGGCGTGCAAGGCCGTATGGGCTCTGGCCTCAGCTCTGGCCATCTCCTTGTCCCTTCTATCATCACCTCTCACCTTTCCCAACTCCAGACACTCCATGCCTTTGCATGTGCAGTTCCCTCCCTCAAGGCCACATTTCTCCACACCGGCTCCTGCCGTGGACTCCAGGCTGCCCACGCCAGCGCTCCTCACCCCTTACAATCAGTCCTGCAGGAGTGAGCTCCTGGGGCCTGGACTTTGCCCCACTCAGCCCCCAGCCATCATGCTTAGCGGTCCCTTGGTGCCCCCTGGTGGCTACATAGGGAAATCCTGGGAACTCACTGAATATGAGGAGGCCGTTACTGAGCACCTACTGTGTGCCAGGTGTTTGTGTGCACCAGCTCATTGAATCCTCATAATACATCCTTGGGGAGGTCCTCAGAAATCTGAGGCTCAGAGAAGCTACTCAGTTTCTCAACACCACCCAGTGGAGAATAAACCCAGGTCTGTTCAAAGCCAGGTTCTTCCTCCCTTGGGGAGGGGAACAAGGTGAAGGGAGGGGCAAGGCCTCACAGACCCTGACACTTGGCCTCAGAGGTGACCCCACAGCCAGCAGCTCTGACAGGGACAGGCTTGGCCCTCCACCTGGGTACCGCTGGCCATCTGAGGTCAGTCTGGGCAGTGTTCACACGAAGCCAGGCCCAACTCCAGGTACAATAGCGATAAATAGAATTTATTTTATACAACTGTTACCAACATACACACGGCCATGGGAGCTTCCAAAGTGGGCAGTGGGGCCGGAAGGCTGGCCTTTGGCGTGGCACCTAAAAAGTGTAGACACACAAGGAAGGACATGGGCTCACAGCAGCTGTGCCTGACCGGCCCCTTTCATTCTGAGCAGGGTTTGATGAGGCCTGGCCTCTAGGCCCTCTGAGACCCCCAGCCTGAAGTGCCCAGGAGTGTGGGTGGCAGGGATTAAGCTGTGTGCTGGCTGAGGGGTCAGGTAGGACCCCCACACACAAGGGGGCCACTGGTCTATCACATGTAGGCAGTGGACAGGGCGTCAGCAGATCTGTGGCAGAGCTGGAGGGTCCAGGAGGGGCAATGGGCACAGCTGGCTCCTAACCCTGTAGCCCGTCTAGGGCCCCAGGGACCTCAGAAGGGGGTTAGTGTGATGAGGGAGATCCCCAGAAGACAAGTATCCCTTTTGGGGCAGGTGCGTGGAATCACAGTCTTCAGCCTCCTCTGAAATAATCTTGTCTGTTTGCAGCAGAGATGCCCAGAAAAGAAGAATGATTTACCCAGAGTCACACAGCATAACTCAAATCAGAAGCCAAGACTCCCAACCCAGTGCTTGCTCTACACAGCTCATATCTTGTTACCCAACAGCAGGCTGTGTGTGCACTGAGCTCTCACAATCGCCCTCTCCTATCTCTCCCCTGACTCTGGATAGGCACCCAGAAGTGTCAGAGGTCAAGCCAGGCCTATAGTCCTGCTTTAACTGACCCATCCCTGCCCAAGTCCAGACCCCTGGCCTGGGGTGGGGAAGATGCCAGCAGCGTCCCGACCCCAGGTCTGGATGGCTCTGCCCTGCGGAGACAGCCCAGATGGTGGGCTGAGGGTAGGGCTGGGGTGGCCTTGGGGTGGATAGCCCAGCACCTGGGCTTGGCACAGCGTCTTCACTTTGTGCTTCTGTGGCCTCATCTGTAGGAAAGGAGGATAAGACACCTCGAAGCAGGAGACAGCAGGCCAGAGGGCTACCCTCAGCACCTGTTGGCACTCCTGGGCCCTCTTTCCACTGAATGACCACCAGGCTCTATCAGGCCCTCTCAGTGCCTCTTGGGCAGAGGTGAGCCCCTCTGTGCAGGTGAGGAAACAGGCTGAGGATCCAGGACTCACCCAAGGCCCCTGGCCACTGAGAGGCAGGGGATTCAAACCCATATATGTAGCTCTCACCCAGAGAGACTCCCATTTCCCCCTCCCCAGCCATGCAGCAGAGAGGTTTAGCTGACCTGCTCAGTCCACCTTCCCTCGGGTGGCCAGCTAGCAGCCCTGTGTGGACAGATGGTGGCCAAGGCAGGGGCAGGACAGATGAAGGGGTGGGCAGGAGACAGAGGAGAGTAGAAGTCACTGGTCGTGTTCAGGCTAGATAAGCCCAAACCTCCTGGATGCTGGGTCCCCTTGGTGTCTATCCCCGAAAGTTTATCCCCCTTCTCAGTGGACTTCCTCAGGGGCACCCCCAGGCACTGCTCCTACCATCTGAGGTGTGTGCTGCTCAGATGCTTCCAGCTGGATCTTGATCTCGGGACATGCAGGGTCCCCCGGCTTGCCGGAGTCTGGGTGGGGTGACCGCGAGGGGCCTGGGGAGGGGGGCAGGAGGGAGCCACCTCACTGGCCGCGGGGAGGCACCAGGGAGATGGAGGCATGGATGGGCGGTCGGCACCAATACTTCCAGCCTGTCCAGTTCCTCCCTTAGGGACTCCCACCCTTAACTCAGTTTCCTGCCACCCACTGTCCTGTGAAACCACAACAGAAGTGGCAGCCCTTCATATGCCCAGGTAACAACCCAACCTCTGCCCCCACAGCAGTGCAATAACATCACACACCCACACGGGGGGCATGGAGTGGTCTCTGCCCTCTGCTCCCTGTCCCCCCATCAACCCCCACTGACTAGGAGTGGACGGCCTGTCACCTGGGGAGCTGCCCCCGCTTGTGGTGCTGATGCTGTCCTCCAACCACGTGCTGTACAGGAAGGAGTCCCGCTTGTGGGGTGTTCCTGAGGATGACACGCTATCCTGGGGAGAGAGGGGAGAAAGTCAGCCCAGCCAACAGGGGCCTCCCTACCCTTACTCCCTGCAAGTCTTGCCCCAGAAAGACCACAGGAGGGAAGACCAGAGGGTCAGGCCCAGGAACAGACATCCACTCATTCACTCAATACACAGCCATGGATGGCATCCTCGGCCAGGCTACTAGGATAACAGGCCTGGTTCCTGCCCTCAGAGAGCCCGAGGTCTAGGAGACACAGCCCATAATTCCGGACTGAAAGCCCCAAGGGGAGGTCTTGTTCTGCATAGTTTCCTGCAGCACCAGAACAGAGCCAGGAAAGGAGCAGGTGCCCACAGAAGGTGTGTTCAATGAAGAATGACAACACGTGTTAAGGGCAAAGCCCAGGCACGGTTCTGGGAGAGCATAAAGCAGAGCTGCTACATCTCCTGGGCCAGAAAGCCAAAGTAGGCTTTCAGGAGGGGCAGGTAAAGCCCAGGTAAGAAGAGTGCTCAAGAGTCAGCCCAGTGAAGGTAGAAGGAGACAGAGGAGTGCTCCAGAGAGGAGAAACAGCACGTGGGAAGGCCCAGTGGTGGAGTAAGCCTGGGACATTTGGGAGATGGCAGAGTCCAGGACATCTGAACCGGTAAGACATGAGACATGGTAAGGAAGGAGCAACCAGATCTGCAACAGCACAGAGATTGGGCTCTGTGCAGACAGCACTGAGGAGCCAGGAAGGCTTCAGAGCAGGCCCCTGATCCCATCTCAGCCACAGTCAGGCTCATGCTTCTGTCCAGAGCACCTCCAGAAACCACTGAGCCCCCATCAGGCCCCTGTGGGGAACCTGACCCCTTGGGGAGCTCACCAGGCCTGTGTCCTCCCCATCCACGCCTTCAGTCTCCTCCACCACACTCGCGAAGCTGCTGGCGCTGGACGAGGAGCGGGAGAAGTCCTTCAACACTTCTGCTCTCTGGGCAGCCGTGTCCACTCTGTCACACACAGTGCCCGTTAGCCAGCAGCCAGCCACAGAGCAGCCCCTGGGGCCAAATCCTTTCTCTCACCTCCCGGCCCATCCACAGCCAGTCAAGTACCTTGTGACGCCCAGTACATATCCTTGGGCCTCTGAGCCTCCCTGGCCTTCCAGGACAGCCCCCTGACTGTCCTTTCTAGTACATGGATCTGTCCAGGGCCCTCCCCAGTGCGACACCCTCTCACGGCTCCTCATTGCCCTCAGGTAAAGCCCAATTGCCTTGGCTGGCATCCAGTCACAGGGATGATTACTGGTAATACTATCAGCCAGTTCAGTGCAGCTTCCTCAGTTCCCTGAGTCATCTATCTCACTGCTGTCATGGTAAGACCCCTCTTATAGGTGTGGGGACACTGAGGAACAGGAGGGTGGGCCCACAGCCCAAGGTTACTCAGTCGTAAGTGGGAGAACAGGGAACCCCACAGCCCACTTCTTAACCCTCCATCATTTTGTTTCACATTCAGGGCCTTTGTGTTTCTGCTGAGTCTTGTTCCACTCAGATCTCAACAAGAAAATCTATCTTTCAAAAATCAGACACTCTGGGTCCTATGTGCCTGTCTCACCCCATCCCTGTTGCCCTTTCCTGCCTCTCTGTTCTCCTGCCTGATTCTCTAGCCTGTGCTGAGTCCTCTTGACCTCCAGGGTCCAGCTGGATGGAGGAGCAGCCTCTTGTGGCCTCCCTGCCTCTAGCCCTGCCCACCACCAGCCTCTTTCTATATAGCACCAGAGCACCCTCCTCTTCATTAAAATCATCCAACGGGGCGGGCACAGGGGCTTACACCTGTGATCAGGAGGAACACAGTTCAAATAGTTCCTCCTGGCAAACAGCCAGGGCAAATAGTTCAGGAGGCTATCTCGAAAATACCCAACACAAGGGTGCCCTCTCTTGGGACCCTCCTCAACTCTGGGGACTCTACTCTCCCACTTTATTCTTTTCTATCTCAATAAACTATCCTGCTTTATTTGTGACAGAGAGAGAGAGAGAGAGAGAGAGAGAGAGAAAATGAGAGAGAGAAGAAAAAAGAAAAGAAAATACCCAACACAAAAAAGGGCTGGTGATGGAGTGGTTCAAGTAGTACAGTGTCTGCCTCTCAAATGTGAGGCCCTAAGTTCAAATCCCAGTACTGCAAAAAAAAAAAAAAATCTTCCAAAGGCTCCCTGACTCAGTATAAAATTTAAAGCTTACATACTGCCTCCAAAGCCACGAGCCAGCCCCTGCTCACCTCTGACTCATTCCTGCTGCCACCCAGGACATCCCTGGCCTAGCCCCTCACTCACTTGGTTCCAACTGCACACAACCCTTCTTTCTATCCATCAGGCATGTCTCAGGCCCTCTGTACTTGCTGGCTCCTTCCCTAGAACCCTCTTCTCTCTGCCAGAGCTGACTCCTTACTCATTCTCAGTTCCAGTGGCACCCCTTTGGAGGTACCTTCCCTGAAGGACCCATCAAAAACTCCCAGTATCCAGACCCCTGGGCAGCTCAGGTCCAAGAAATAGAAAGGATGAGCCAGCTACCCACAGCCCATCCCATTGAGCCCAGAGCCCAACCTGTTCTTGGTTGTGGGCATCTCTGGAGAACTCTGAGTGGAAGAGTTCTCTGACTTGGGTTCTTGTGAGACGTGCCCGCTGTCTGGGGTCTTCTGGCCGGCCGGGGGACTCTCCCTGCAGGACACAGGGGGATAGCAGGGGAACTAAGCACTGAGCCTGGCAGTGAGGTAGAATGAAGCCCAGGTGGTAAGCAGCAGTCATGGGTACCTTGTATCCTCGGGGCTAACTTCAGGCCCTGTAGGCTCCCTGGCTAGCCAGCCAGCAACAGGGCAGTACTGATGGAACCACCAGTGACCTCCTAAGTCCTCCTCTGCATGGGAGGGGCAAATGGGCCCCTGGGATAGCTAAGGAAATTGGGACTCAGAGGCAGGAAAGGAGCTGCCCAGGGACACCTAGCTAGGACAAGAACCCAGGATTTATGGCATTCTGAGCTCGGGTAGCCTCTGCTTGATGTGTATAGCAGGAACTTTCACAGCAGTCCCACACTGTTGGCTGATTTCTTATCCCAGCTTTTCAGATTGGGATAATGAGAATCAGAGAAGTACAGTGACTCACTAAGGTCACACAGCCCTAGTATGGTGAAACTGGACTCATACCCAGGACCTGTTTTCTGTATTCCAGGGATATCTTGCTACCCCCATGCTCTCACAGACTCTGGCCACCCTGAGGCCCACTGGAAGCCAGCACTGGATGCTCTTACAGCCACTGGCAATGGAAAGAGTGTGGTGATGGCCCTGGAGAGACCAGGGCTCAAATCCTAGCTCTGTCCTTCTCAGCTGTATGACCTGTGCGAGCCACCGACTCCTGGACCTTACAGCTTCTTAATCTGCAAGGCACAGATCCAGGGAGCCAGCAAAACCTCTGGGCAAACAAAAGCATTTTGTGTTAGGTAACACTGGCTCAGCACCTGACATACAACTGTCACTGTAGGGGGACAGGGGCTGACAGGTAGGCACTCCCTCCTGTCTGCATCATCTTGCCTTGGAATAGGGTCAGGATGGGACCAGGAGGAGCAGGGCCCTCTCCCCAGGCACCCTCACCCACCTCTTTTCCTGGACCTCCTGAATGTTCTCAATACCGATGGCACTACTGCGGCGGGAGCCGAATGGGCCCGACTTCTTCCTTGTGGGACTCTTCCCAGGGACAATCAATGACTGCAGGGAGAAGCCCCATCTCAGTGCCTGCCTGCCCTGGGAGACCCTGTGCCTCCCACCTCCCCTGGGGCCCTGCTGTCCCCCGCCTGAAGCAGAAGTGGTGAGCAAGAAGGAGCAAGAGAAAATGTGCATTCCCAGGGCGGGTGCCTGGCTGGCAGATGGGAGACAGGGCCTTTCCTAAGACCACACCACAGGGCTGTACCCAGGGTTCAGCCCAGAAGAATGGCAGGGGCCTGAGGGGCAGGGCCACCACTCAAGCCAGGAGGAAGGAAGCCAAGTCTTCAGAGGGGCCACCCTCCCTCCAGCTCCATGAGAGCTATAGTCTGAGGGTGGGTGGGGAAAGCAGAATAGCAGCCCAAGCCCCAGTCCACCAGCCTGAACCCTTGGAACCTTTACAGCAGCTGGGAAGGCTCTGGCCCAGCAGTAGGGAGGTCCCCACTCACACACACACCATGGTGGGGTTCCCAGGCCCCAGAAGCATGCTACCAGCTCCTTGGGGGAGACAGGAGATGGACCCCAAGGAGGCATGGAGGGCAGCACCCCATGGAGGGAAGGGGGATCAGGGCAGAGGGGAGGGTTGGTGCCCCAAGCACAGCTGGCGATATTGGGGGACGTACAGCTAGACAGAGGGTCTCTTGAGTACCGTATACTGGCAGGGACTGGATCAGGGTCCCAGGGGCCAGGGCAGGGCCAGAAGCCCCTGGTGAGGGCCACTGGCTCTGGCCCAGGTACCACGCCCCAAAGCAGGTACTGAGTACCCAAGCCATGGGCACTCCACCCTGCACACCCTAGGGCCTGTCCCAGGGGAAGGGGGCACATCCCCAATATGGCCTCCATCCTGACAGCGAGCAGAAAACAGCGCGTGCAGGCAGCCTCCCGAGCTGGCGGCCCGCGGACGACAACCTCTTCCACGGTTCCTATGCCTATGGCACTGCCCCGACGTCCGAATCTACTCGCGCTTTTCCCAGGAATAAGCAATGACTGGCAAGCGGCAGAGGATGGGGCAGAGAAACAGAGAGTCGGAGAGAGGGAGAGAGAGATGAGACCAGGAAGGAGGAAAAGACAAACAGATGAGAGAAATAAGAGATTGAGTGGAAAATGAGAAAGAGAGGCAGGTAGGGAAGGGAGACATGGAGACAGAAAGTGACAGGTAGTTATGCAGTCAGGGACACGTGTGAGAGCGAGCATGTGAACACGAGAGATGGAGCACAGAGGAAACCAAAGGACAGGGACAGAAACAGCAGGACACAGATGGGCCCAGGAAGCAAGGGTCGGAGTCAGAGACGGAAAGAAAAGGGAGCGAGAAGGGAAGGCAAGGGTGAGAAGAGTGGAAAGAGGAAGGAAGGATGTAAACAGACAGGTGCAAGAGGAGGAAGAAAGGCACAGCATGAGAAGATGGAGACATGATGGGGGGAGGAGAGGGGCAGGAAAGAGAAAACACCAGAGAAGAGTACAGGAAAAGAAGGCAACATGAAGAAAGGGAGAGTTGTGCAAAAACAAAAACAGAAATGGGTCTGGTTACTGCCATGGTGGGTGCTCCTGGCCTGGCCCTGACCCCGGGGCCCCTCCACAGCCACCCACAGGAGGCTGAGCCACTCAGTGGGGAGGGAGTGGCTGTAGAACCTGGGTTGGGGGAGGTTGGGCCAGCTTCTCAGATGACTGTGGGCTTGGTAACTGTGGGACAGCAGAGGTCTCACCTTGCTCACCCTCGGCCAAACCAGACCACACTGCAGGCATGGGGGTGGGGGGTGGGGGCTGCCTCCTGTCACATGACACAGACTCACAGCACTGAGCACAAGGTTTGGCATGCGGTATACAGTCAGTAAGAGAAGGATGAATGGATTTGTGGGTGAGTGGATGGATAGATGGATGAATGAGTGTGTGGGTGGACTGATAAATGGATAGATGGCTGAAGATGGGTAGGTGAATGGATGAGTAGATGGATGGATATGGGCAGATGGATGAATACATGGATATGTGGATGAATGGGTGGATAGGTGGATAAGTGAATGGGTGAATGAGGCATGAATGGATGGATGGATGGATGAATGGATAGATGGAAGATAGACATGGATGTGTGGATGGATGAATGAGTAGATGGATGGGTGAGTGGATGGGTGTGTGGGTAGACTGATAGACATGTGGATAGCTGGAGGGTGGACTGATGAATGGGTGGGTGAATGGATGGGTGGATGGGTAGGAGAATGGATGAATGAGTGTAGGATGAATGGATGAATGGGTAGATGGATGGATGGGTGGATGGTGAGTAGGGAGAGAGCAGAGCAGTGGGTGCAGTGTCTTAGGTCGTCACTAGGTGGCGCAAAGCAGCTAGGCCCGTGATGGAGGCCTGTTTCTCAGCACTCCCTGAGTGTGCTGGGTAGACAGACTCCTCCAGGGCCTGGCAGTCAGCAGTCACACAGCAGGGGCTCACTCAGGAGAAGCCCACACAGAAGCCAGTTCCTGGCTGGCTGCTGCAGACACACAGAAGGAAGTGCTCAGGAGAAACGCCCACCGTCACATGCTTCCTTACACACAGTAGGTGCTCACGCAGCAGGCAAGATCCAGACACACAGTAGGTGCTCACGCAGCAGGCAAGATCCAGACACACAGTAGGTGCTTTCAGAGTAGATGCCCACACAGCAGTCCATTTCCTTACACATAGTAGGTGATCAAACAGCAGCTCGGGACTGGGCACACAGTAGGTGCTCACAGAGTGCATATCCACATAGCAGCCCAGGTGCTGACACAGTGGCTGCTCACAGCCTGACACACAGTAGGTGCTTCCAGAAACCCAAGGCTTGACAAAAGATGCCCATACAGCAGCCCGGTTCCCAGTATACAAGAGACAGTAGGTACTCAATTAGGAACGGATGCAGAGGCTACAGAAAGTCACACCTGAATGAGTAAAGGGGCTAGGAGGAAGACAAGACCAAGGGGCTACAGGGTCTCAGGATCCTAGTGTCCGGGCCAGGGTATTTGACCCCCAAGGGAGAGCAGTGCCTAGACTGAGTCCAGAGCCCCGAAAGGGCACATAGACAGCAGGACCATGGGTGGGCAGACCTCAGGAGGCGGGGAGCACAGAGGGCCCTGGGGTGGGGCGGGGCCGTGGGAGGATACTCACTATTCCAGCTGCCTTGGCCAAGTCAGGGTTGTTGGGTGTGAAGCTCCCACTGTGGCTGGTGGACACGGTGCTGGGCTTCTTGTTTGTCAGTCCCATGGCATCCATGGACTGGCTGCGGCTCCGGATGACCCGCTGTGAGCAGAGGGTGGAGGTGGAGGCGGCACAGGCTTCCTGAGTTTCATCTCTGTTACGGAAGCCTAGGAGCCCAGGCGTCTGGTCCTTCCCCACCAATGCCACTCTGGGTCACCCTAGGAAGCCCAACCTAACCTCCCTTGTGTGGTTTATTACCCTGTGTGCCACACAAGAGGCAGGCAAGTGCACACAGTGCCTTGGGCAGGCCACTTCACCTCTCTGAGCCTCTAGCCAAATGGGCTGCACGACAAGTCTCCACCCATGTGGTTGTTGTAAGGACAGCAGATGTAGAGTTGTGAGCAAGTGTGCACTAATGTCCTCCAGAAACCTGTTTCTTTCCTTTTGGGGTCTCTGAGCGGCCCCTTCCATTCCTTTTTCCTTCTGCTTCTCCAACCTCCCTCCCTCCTCCCTCTCTTGTCTTTCTCAGACCACTCTATACTAAAGGCTTACTGTGGGGCCTGGTAGGTAACATTTACTACCATTCAATCCTTCCTGTGCGGTGGGGACTATCTCGTGCCTACTTTACACGTGAGGAAACTGAGGCAGAGGTAAGCCTGGCCAATATGCCAAATCCTATGCCCTTAACCGTGGACCCTGCTGCCTCAGAGAAATGCTCTGAGCTAATCTAAGGGTCCTGTCTGTCACCTACCAGATGTGACACCATGGAGCTCTCCTCACAGAAAACACCATAGACCATGATCAGCCCATCATCCCTGTCTCTAATAGGCAGAGGCAGGACTCTCCAGGCCTTTCTCACATCCCGTCTGGGCAACTGGGCTGCCGCTCTTACACAAACTCATAGCTTCTGCCTTGGGGCTTCCCTGGGGTGAGGGTGAGGCCAACAGGCCTATCTGGGTACCTGGAGGATGGGCAGTCCTGCTCCTGTGGCCTCTGCCTGGGGTCCTGCAGTGGGAAGGAAAACTCCACCTCCTCTGCCTGTTGAGTTGGACCCTTATGGCTCAGGCAGATCCAGCACACTGGGTTGTACACTTTGCTTTTTAACTGATTTTGCACTAACCTAACAGCTTCACAATTAGCTCCACAACAGGTATATGAGGTCGGTTGTCATGACCTCATTAACCTACCAGCAGATAAAGAAACTGAGGCTCCAAGAATGCCTAAGCTGGTAAGAGGCAGAGCTGGGATGTGAACCCAGGGAGTTTACACTCTTTAACACTAAGCTAAACCAGGGACATCCAGGGAAAGTCACCCAGGCCAGGTCCCCTGCAATGGTTACTCAGTCCACTCACACCTTCTGGGGAAATTCCCAGGGGGACTCCCTGGGCTAGGCCCCACCTCTAGCCATTAACTCCTCTCCAAACGACAGGACAGCCCCCGTAGTACATTCCTCTTCCAGCCTTGAACCACTCAAGGCCCAGATCCCTCCTGAGTCTAAGTGCACCCCAAAGACTTGGTCCGCCCAACCACGCCCCCAGCAGTGATCCCACCTCTGGCCACACCTCCACGCCCAGCACCTCCACTGAGGCCCTGCCCAGACTCTGCCCCCACGGATCCCTCCTCCACCACACCCCATGTCTGTCTTGTCCATCAGCCCCGCAGCGGTGGGTTCCCACCGGGTAGCCCCAGGCCCTTCACCTTGAAAGACTCGAAGAAGCCGCCGCCGCCGCCGCCGCCGTTCTCCATCTTGTCCTCGTCACCGCCCAGACCCATCATGGACTGGCTGTGGATGTGAAGTTCCTCATAGAGCGTCTCTAAGAGGGCCGCGCGGGTCCGCTCCTGTGGGCCAGGCACCAGGAGAGACCGCAGGGGTCAGCCCCTGTCCCACAGTACTAATACCGGCCACTTCCCTGAGTGGGGAGGAGGGAAGTCCTAGGCCCCAGGGAACGTGGGCTGGCTTCCCTGGGACCACTCTGCAGCCCCCAGCTCTCCTCATGGTACCCCTCCTCATTCCACCCACCTATGAGTCCCTCCTGCTTCCCCTCACTCCAAGCTCTACTTAGTCAGGTAGTCCCTGCCCCAAGGTCAAGATCTAACATTCCCCTGTGGGGGGCAGGGCTGAAAGTCTAGGCTGGGGTGGGGGTTCAGCTCCAACAGCCCATCCTCACCTCCAGTTTGGCAAACTTCTCTGCCTTGTAGCAAGCATATTCAGCATTGATCAACTTTGTCAGCAAAAATTCCTGGAACTCAGGCCCCTGGGAGCCCCCAGTGTGGAGGAAATAAGAAAGGGGGAGGGGGAGTCAGACAAACATAGAAGCCAGGTCTGAGCCTGGATGAGTCAGGCTGGAGCTCCTAAACTGTGCTCTGCCTGGCCTGCAGGTCCCTCTCTTCATTCCCAGAAGGGCATCTCCTTGGGCTCAGCAACCCAACCCAGGTACCTGTGCCCCTCACGGCCACCCACCCCCTCAGGAGAGCAAGGTCTGGAGGTGTTAGGGTCTAGGTCACTATCTTCTTCTGCCAAATCTGTAGTAGCATGTGCTGTGTGCCCAGCTGATGCCATGGCTTGCAGCGTGGCTTCTGAGAGGTGACAGAGACATGTGCCCCCTCTCCAAACATTTTAGAGGAAAGAAGACTGTCAAAAAGAAGAAAGGCCACAACTTGCTATGAAAAATGTAAAACAGTTCTGTAGTTCATTTGGTGACCTTGTAAAACCAGAAGTCACAGCTCTTTATCAGAATGAAGAGAGCAGCCCTAGTGGCCATGCACGTGGTAGACATCAGAACCTCCAGAGGCAGAACATGGGGCCCCTCCCATTGAGTCCTCCTCTGCCAGTGGCAGGAGCTGAGGGTTGCCTCTCACCTTCCTGAACACAGCGGGGTCTGGGAGGGGAGGCCCAAAGAAGGGCACATCATCTCTCGCAGTGACAGAGACCTGGAAAGGAAGACAGCTGTCCCTGTGGGGTCCAGGGCCTATGGCTCAGCCCCACACTAGTCCTCTTTCACCTTCTGTCATGCCCCTGGCTGGGGGAGGCTCTGACTGCGACTACCTGGGGACCAATGCTTTTGTAGCAGGATTTCAGCTCCTCTAGGCTTTGCTGTGAATTTGAGAGTGAGAGATGGGTAGGGGACCTTGTGGAGGCTCAAGGAGACAGAGGAAGGTGACACCGGGTCAGGAGGTAGAGGAAGGTGACTGCCTTCTTTGAGGGAATGAGCTCTGGGAAGTGAGAGGGCATGACAGGAATCATCCTGCTTACATAGGAAGCACTGGGGCTCAGAGAGGCCTTTGTAAGACAAAGCCATGGCAGGGCCCTCACCTTGTAGAGAGGGCCATCGGTGCCACACCCCTCGGCCTGCACCACTACATAGGCGTGCAGGAAGTTGGATGCAATCATGTCGGGCACGAAGGGTGTATTCTCATCCTGGAAGACCACAGCCACGATGTCATTCCCAATGTGCCGCTTCCGCTGCAACTGAGCACAGGGCCAGGGGCTGCACAGCTGGCCAGGGGGTGGGAAGGGCCACCCTGAGGGTGTGGGGGGCTTGGGGCAGGCAGAAAACACATCTAAGGACTTGCTTTTCCCCCAAACATGAAAACTTGTCTTAAAATTATTTCAATTTTCTTCAATATCTATGACAGATGAGAAAACCAAGGCCAAGGGAAAAGTAATTTACAAGCTCCTACGATGACCTCTGTGCAATAAATATATTAAAAAAATCCTATGATGAGCTCAGGGACCTGAACCTAGGTCTCCTGGTTTACAGGTCCTACTGCTCAGCCCTTCGATCTAAATGCCCCCAAATATGATCCTTCATTGAACAGACAGGTTCTACTCAGTATATATGTGTGTTGCTAAACAAATGGAGGATCTCATGAAAAGAAAAAGCTGGTGGAGTGGCTCAAGTGGGAGAGGGCCTGCCTAGCAAGCATGAGACCCTGAGTTCAAACCCTAGTAACACCAAAAAAAAAAAAAGGCACCAAAAATAAGGAATACATATTTCATTTAGTGCGCTGGGTTGGGAGTGGAGAATGGCAGATGGTCTTATAAGCAGCTCAGGGCAAAGTGATCAAATTTTGGGTTCATTTAATGGAACACACCCTGTTCCTCCTGTTCCACCTAGATATCTCAGCTCCTTTGCAGCCTAAAATTCACTTTATCTTGAAAGTTCTTCCTGGCTCCCACTTCTGCCAAGTCTAAGTGCCCCAATGTGATCCCATAATGCTTTTTACTACCCACAAAAACACTAGCTCACCTTTCTTGGGCTCTTGTGTGTGCCAGGCCCTAGAACAGTCACTTCATATGTATCCCTCCTTCACACTCACCTACCAGGGAGGTACCATTATTATTCCCATTTCTAGGCAGTGGAAATTGAGGTTTTCCCAGTATTGTAGCAATCCATCTCCTTGGCCCCCGCTAAAGCCCACAACTGGGAGGACTAGCTCGTTTCTCTGTCTGGTCCAAGGGCCCAGCACTGGGCTCGGTGTGATAGGGCATAGGTGGACAGTGGGAAGCAGGTAGGTGGATGGGCACCCAGGCTACCTGCTGGGCGTCCCCTTCTGTGTAGGGCAGCTTGGTGGACACATGAAACATGATCTCCTTGTTGCGGAAGTTGCAGTACACAGACTCGGTCCCCGTCTGCCCGTGGGTCACATCCAGGCCTCCTCGGAACCTGCCCGGGGGTCCCCAGGCCACGCCTCAGTCTCCAGCCCCAGCCAGGCCTCCAGGGGGCCAGGCCAGGGCTCCCTCCCTGCCCAGGAACATGGGTGAGATCCACTCTTCTTGTCCCACCCTTGAACTCACCCCTTGAAATCCTGCAATTTGACCTTCTGGCCCAGAAATTCGAGGAACTCCACGAAGGCAGGGCTTTCCTCATTGGTACTGAAGAGCTCTTCCTCAGAGGTCTGAGGACCACATGGGGGCCGAGGTCATGGAGCTGGAGTTCCTGAGCAGCCCTACCCCAGCCCCACTCAATTCCAGAGAAGACCCAGGCAGCCCCTTGCTCCTGGAAAACTGGGTTCCCCTGGCAGGTGCTCTGCCCTGCACAGGTCTGCAGTGCCAGGTGGAGAGCAATGTGGGGTGGGGAGCAGGGTGGGGGAGGAGCGCACCTGCCCAAGCTTCTGATAAATGACTCCGAACTTGAAGTTATTGCTGATGACATGCTCGTCGAAGGTGACAATGAGCCGGGAAGCCTGTGGAGAACACATGGCCATTCACTCCTTGTACATCCACTGCTGGGCCAGGTACACGTAATCCCCAAAGCAAGCCTGTGGGGGAGACTGTCCACTGTCCTCCTGTGCCTGGGTTTCAGAGTGCTCCAGCAACTTGCCTCAGGTCAACATGTAGATGAGTGAAAGGCTGGGACCTGACCCAGGTCTGTTGATTCCTGAGTTTTGCCAAGGCCACCCCACCCCACTCTGCAATGCCCAGCTAACTCCTGGCTCTTCTAAGAACCTCCTCATCCTTTCAGGCAGGCCAAGTCCCACCAGTTTGCTGTGAGGCCTTCAACAGGTACTGTGTCTCACCTTGGGCCTCAGTTTCCCCTTCATAGCCAAAAGGTAGGACCCTTCCTTCAAAACACCTTTCTTGAACCACAACCACCCTCAGGGACCTCACACCACTCCAGAATTCAGCCAGGGCCACAAGGGTTTACATGTCTTACAAAGCTCACCTCCTCCAGGAAGTTTCCAGGTTAGTCAAGGACAGAAGCCCCTGCCCATATTTTATTGCCACCGTGCCTAGAAGTAGCAGGCAGCACCAGGGCTGGAGGTGTAGCTGCTGTGGGGGCAGCAGGTTGGGGGGGGTTCTCCCTAGGTCCCCTCTAGGGGCAGATAGCAAGGCCAGTGGAAAAAATACCATTTCTTGTTTCCTCTTCTGCAAACTGTGGACTTTACAGTTTAGGAGGATCAAATGAGAAGATTTGGGGAAATTACCCAGCATGCAGCAGGTGCCCAATAAATGTTCAGTCCTCCAGATACCACCCACACTCAGGGAGTAGGGCCCAGATATGGCTATACCTTGGGATAGAGCACAGGGTAGAATCGATCCACATTGACGTCTTCACACACCAGCTGCAGAAGGAGACAAGGGAGGGGCATGAAGTGGGCAGGGTCAGAAGGGAGGGGCCTCCTGGGCTTCAGTGGCCAACCCTGGGGAGAACAGCAGCAGAGAGGATGTGGGAGTGGCCCTACTGGGAACAAGTAGGCTGGTGCAGTCTTGGGAGCTCACTGGTGCTCAGAACAGGGTTCTGAAGATTGGGGCCCCCAAGAGATCAGAGTGCTATAAAAAGTGCTGAAAGCACACAGGCCAAAGACTGATGCCAGGACAACCAAGGGCAGCGTGCACACACAGTGGGAACAAGTGAGAGGAAGGTTTGCAGCTGCAGACAAGGCGGTGCTGAGGCCAAGCTGCAGCCAGCCCTGTGCCCCCGGGGTGCCCAACTTGGGAAGCTCAGGAGAGCGGAGGCCTCACCTTTGCCATCTGGACCACGTTGGGAAACTCAGTGAGGCAGGAGATAGGGATGACATCATGGTATGTCCGAGACTTGGTCCTGGGAGGAGAAAGCCACATGGTGAGGGGCTAAGCAGTGGGAAGGGAGATGGGAGCTCTCCACAAAGACCCAAAGGTGAGCATGGTGCCAGGCCTGGCTGGGATATTAACTTGCCACATGACATCAGACAAATCCCCATTCCTCTCTGGGCTTCCATGAAAAGAGTGGGTAAAATGAGTCTGGCGCTCGAGTTACTGCCTCAGCCCTCCCCATGGACTCAGGGTCCCCCAATGCCCTCACCTGAGCAGCAGGCGCAGGTGCTCTTGATCCCCAATGACATCATACTTGAGTGAAAAGACCAGGTGGCCAAGGGCAGTGTCCAGTGAGTAGTAATTGAAATGTTCCTGTGGTAAACAGAGTTCAGGGAGGGGTCAGGTCCGTTTGGGACACCAGAGGGCCTACTCACTTGCACACAGCTCCTTCACCAAGCAGCAAGCTTCATAGTCAGTACCATCACACAGATATGCCACCTGCCAGCTGGGCAGTCTGAGAAGGTCACCTCACCCCTCTGTGCTTCATTTCCTAATCTATAAAATTTGAGTGAGGCCACCTACCTTGATGGTGGCAGGAACTGAGAGAGGTAAAATGCCTGGTATGGACTCAGAGTGCAATGAGTGTCTGTAGTAACCTTGATTCTCTGGCTCCTCAGCAATGTCAGGGCCACATTTGTACCTGCATATCTGTCTCCCAGCCTTTGCATTCTCAGGGCACACAGAAGGCGCTCAATAAGAAAAGCCAACTAGCTGGGCATGGTGGTGCACACCTGTAATCCTGGCACTGAGAAGCTGAGAGAGGAAGATTGAGAGTTTGGACCCAGCCTGGGCCCTGTCTCAAAAAAAGATGGGTGGATGGAATGAAGGAAGGAAGGAAGGAAGGAAAGAAAGAAGGTCAACTTGCATGTTCAAGGCCCTGGAATTCCCAACACTAAAAGAAAAAAAAAAAATCCAACCAGTCGATTGCACAATATTTAGTTCCATGACCCCGAAGTCAAGGCAAGAGAGAAACAGGAAGTGAAGCATCTCATGCCACACAAGGTAGGTGACCTGGCAGGTTCCCACCTTCCTGTCTCACCTGAAGAAGACGACACAGGGCTAGGAAGACATCCTAAAAGGAACACGGGTGGCTGCTGCAGGAATGGCACCCCTAGATGGGCACACAGGGCTAGCACCTCTATGTAGGGAGGTCCCCAAGCAGAGACTAAGGCCAAAATGGAGGAGGCGCTACCCCAGCCTGACCCAGCCCTGAGAGTGGAGCTGGCTCCCCAGCCACACCCATCCCAGGAATCAGCCTGGAAGTAAATCCTGGTTCAACAGGAACACCTGTGCTCAGAGGCCAGGTGGAGAAAGCAGCTGCCAGGGGAGGAGGAGATATTCTGCAGGCCAGGGGCACTTGACAGACCAAGGAAGAGCCCCAGCCTTGCCTGGATACAAAGTGGCAAAAAGTCCCAACTGCCTGACAGTGTCCACAAAGCAGGGTGATAGGTACTTGGCAACAAAGTTTCCCCCAAACCAGAGGAGGCCAAAGTATACAGTGGAGCCAGACTCAGGGTCCCAGGAGGCCAAAGTCACTCTCACCTCCTCCCTCTGCTAGAACAGGCCTAGTGCCTGAGCACCTGGCTGCTTCTAACACCCTGCCTGGAGTCCAGGAGAGGCCCTACCAGCCTGGTCCTGTCACTCTACCTCCTCTGTCCCCTCAGCCTGCACCTCTTCAAATCCTCCTGCATTCAAGGCCCCCACCTTCACCTGAAGGTTACTCCTTCAGCAAACTGTTCAAAGTCAGCCCAACACAGGCACCAAAATCCCACCATCGTTCAGAACCAGCTGAGACTCTGGACAGTGGGCACTTGGGAGGTAGGTCTTCCTTCACCCAAGGGTCCGCAGAGAGGCGGAATCCCACCCCACACTCTAGGACCGTCCCTGCGCAATGGCCCCTGAACCCAGGTCTGCTGGGTCAATCCCTGTCTCAGTGGATCCTCCCCCAACTCAGTCTGTTAGCACTAGTATTTCCTAGGCTCAAGATAGTGTCCTCCTCCTGATACACGCACACGCACACACACACACGTGCACACACACGTGCACACACACACACGCACGTGCACACACATGCGCACACACACGTGCACACACGCACACGCACACACACATGCACACACACGCACACATGCACACATACACGTACACACACATGCACACATGCACACACACACGCACACACATGCACACACGCACACACACATGCACACACACACGCACACACACGTGCACACATACACACACACGCACGTGCACACACACGTGCACACACACACGCACACACACGTGCACACACACGTGCACATACACGTACACACACATGCACACACACGCACACACACATGCACACACACACGCACACACACGTGCACACACACACGCACACACACGTGCACACACACACGCACATGCACACACGCATGCACATGCACACACACACGCACACACACATGCACACGTGCACACACACATGCACACACACGCACATGCATACACACGTGCACACATACACGCACATGCACACGCACACACACGTGCACACATACATGCACACGCGCACACACATGCACGCACGCACACACACGCACACACATACATACACACACATGCACACACGCACACACACGCACATGCACACACACATGCACACATACACGCACATGCACACATACGTGCACACATACACGCACATGCACACACACGTGCACACGCGCGCACACACGCAGCACACGCGCGCACACACATGCACACATACACGCGTGCACACACACACGCACACACATGCACACATACACGTGCACACATACACGCACATGCACACGCACACACATGCACACATACACGCACGCGCACACACACGCACACACATGCACACATACACGCGCGCACACATACATACACACACATACACGCACACATACACGCACGTGCGCACACACGCACACACATGCACACATACACGCACGTGCGCACACACGCACACACATGCACACACACGCGCACATACATACACACATGCACACATACACGCACGCGCGCACACACATGCACACATACACGCACACATACACACACATACACGCACACATACACACACATACACGCGCACACACACACGTGCACACATACACGCACACACATGCACACATACACGCACGCACACATACACGCACACACACATGCACACATACACACACGCGCACACATACACGCGCACACACATACATGCACACATACACGCACACACATGCACACATACACGCACACACACACGCACACATACATGCGCACACACGCGCGCACACATACACATACACACACACTTCCTGGCTAGGTAACTGCAACCTTAACCAAGACACTTCGCCTCTCTGAGTTTTAATTTTTTCTTCTGTAAAAACAGGATAATCTTGATCTCAAAGAGGGATTACACACATGTAATCATAAATATCGTTAGCTGTGTATTTGCTACGTGCCAAGCATTGTTCTATATGCTTTTACACTTACTTTTACTACCCCATATTTACAGATGAGGAAGAAGGCTTGAGAAGGTTACATAGCTTGCCCGAGATATCACCATCAGTAGAAGGAAGGGCCAACATTCGCACCCAGACCAGGGGACAGAGCCCATTTTGGTGGGAAACGGACATAGAGATGGCACCCTATGTGGAACTTAACATACAGGTCCCAGCACGGGCCTCCCCTCTGACACCCAAGCCTTACCCAGTAATTCCTGAACACCCTTGGGCAACACTCTGCCAAGCAGTTACTGGGCAGGCTCCCTGCTCTGGGGCTGTGGCAGCATCAATCTAGGTCACCACACTACTGTGCCCTCCCAGCCCCCACCCCAAGCTGCCCAGGGCAGGGCTGGGTCTTTGTTGGCTGTGGTATACCTGGTGCCCAGAACAAGGCCAGCATGCAGCCGATATCTGGTATTTGCTCACCCTAGGAGTGATTCCTTTGTTCCCAAATGCTATTCAAATTGCCTGACAGATCTTATCTCATTAAAGCCTCAAGGCATCCTTAGGAGGTGAGTGTCATCATCACTACTTTTACAGATGGGGAAACTGAGGTACCCTGAAGTTAAGCAACTTTCCTGATGTCCCATGTAGCATATGGCTAAACCAGGATTCAAACCCTAGGAGTCTCTGTTGTTAGCCACTATGCCATCCTACTGACTTTTGCAATAAATGTTTGTTGAGTGAATGAATGAGTCCACATGCACTCTCCCTGAGACTCAGAGCTCCTGAACTGTTGCCTAGCTCCAGCCAAAGGTTCTGGTCCCACAGAGGCCCAATGTCCCATGAGGCTAAACTGTGCTCCACCTCAGCCAGCCCCCAATGCCAGCCAGCCACCTACCTTGCCAAGAAAGTGCTTCCGGTAGATGCGGGCTGTGGGGTTACACTCGAGCTTCACCTTGGTGGTGGGCGACTGAAGTGGCTCTGTCTCAGGGATGCTGGTGATTTCATGGTTGGTGCCTTCAATCCAGTAGCCCCCAAACTGGGGCAGCAGGATGAGAGGAAAGGGCCCTTCTCGCCCCAGGACCTGAAGTGGAACTCAGCTGAACACCACCCCATACCTGGGCTCCACTATGGGTCCCAGGACACGCTTCAACTCAGAACCAGGATCACTTCTGCCATGGCTAAAATGTACCCCAACAACTCAGGGCTATGTGGTTCACACCCACTTCCTCTGGGTCCCTGCTCCAGTCTTTTCCCTTCAAGACCCAGGCAGCACCAAATCCATGTCTCAGTGGCAAGGATGGCATGGGGGCAAATGGGAAGGCTGAGGACATGGCCTTGGGCAGGAGACTGAAACGTTTGGCCAGAGGCCTAAAGGTTCAAACAGGCTCTGAAATCTCCAGTATATAAAATGAGGCTCCAGCCCCCATGGCAAGGCTATAGTCAGGCTCCTGGAAGGGAGGAAGACCCGGGCATGCAAATGCCCTGCATGAGGGCCTCTCCAGGCTCTTGGTAAGAGTGGGATGGGGGTCCAGCTGGGTACCTCATGGACGCTCGGATAGGGAATGTAGTCCTCCTCCGTCTGCAAGACACAAGCAGGTCAGCCCAGCTGGGGTGTGACCTCACCCTTCCTAGTACACTTGGTCTGTCCAGCCAGTGCCCCCAGCGGGGGTCAGGAATCAGCTGTGGCTTCATTCCCTCCATCTTATAGAGGGGGCAGGTGCAAGCCTTGGGGTGATCCCACCAGGCTGGGGCAGAGGCAGCTAACCTCACTAAGTCTGGCAATTTCAGGCTCTTTCTGTGGGGAAAGGAGGCTACTGGTTCCCCAGAGAAAACCAAAGACTACTTGGAGGCCTTGTCAGATGCGGATTGCTGTCTCACCCCCAGGGGTCTGGATGCAGTGATCTGGGTAGGGCCCAAGAACTGACATTCCTAACAGGGTCCCAGGAGGTACCGATGAGGCTGGTCTGAGGACCACAATGAGAACACCAGCCCTTAGCAAAGAATCAGGCTTACTGCCCATGAGCCTCTGTAGCCCTGACCCCTCCCCCAGCTACAGCCTCCCATCTTCTAGGGTTGGTGGCATCCAGTATCACTTGTGTGTGCCCCCCACCCCAGACAGGAGCTGCACGGAGCAGCTCACACACCCATCAATGTCCTGGGGTGAGTCTAAATGCAACTGCTGCAGTGATGCAGGAAGGCCCAAGCCTATGGTAAAGGAGCTCTTAGGATGCAGAGACCCGGATACCCTGTTCACCTAGGGCCAGCACCTGGTACACCGAGACTCCTTCACTCACAGGCAGCTCTGGCTGCACTTCCCAGACCCTGCCCTGCTCAGCAGGTGGTTTGCACTGGGCCACCTACTTTGAGGGGCGGCGGGAAGGGGCATCGTTGTTCATCCATCCTGCTTCCCTGAAAGAGAAGGCAACACCCAGTGGCACCCCTGCCGTGCCTGCTGCCAGAAGCCTGCCCTGTCGGAAGCTCGCCCCTGCCTATGTGGAAGGGTAGCCCTGGGAGGTATTCGTGGGTGGGTGTGATGGTACTCCCCCAGCAGGGTGCTGGTCTGTTTGCTCCTCAGGCCTCTCTGGAGGACTGGTGATGGCCAGGAACACCCTCTGCAGTGGCAGGGAGGGGCCAGGGGCTCTGTGCAGGAATGCACATGTTGCTGGGAGTGGAGGCAGGGGTGCACATGCAGGCGCGTGTGTGTGTGTGTGTGTGCACAAGGAGGGGTATGAACATCAACACAGATCTGGGGAGGGGTAGGAGGCAGAGATGTAAGACTGAGAGGCAGAGAGGCAGGAGGCAGAGGGCCAAGGAGGGTGAGCTGACATCAGGGAAAACTACTGAGGTTTTTGCAAGCCCCTCCACACTCTCCTCCCAACACATACCCATACAACACAGGAGGCAACTGCACCCCAGGTCTCCAAGCTCATGATGCTCCCCTACCTGTAGCACAGCCGCTGACTGACATCTGTCCCCTCCTCCGCTATGTATGAGGTCCTGAAGAACCTGTGATACCTCTTATGATGGGGGACGGTGTGTGCATGTGGGGGTAAGGTGAGGAGCTGACCAGAACCCTGCTGGTGACCAGTGCAGGGCTGGGAGCTGAGAGCTGGAAGCCTGGATGGGTCCCAGGTCAGGGAGGAGGTGGGGCACTACAAGTCCTTCGGTCTATCAGAGGCTCCTGGCCTGTCCTGAGAGGTGCTAGGATGGAGATACTGAAAGGGCCCCTGTCTCTAGCCCCAGCAGCTCTGTGGATCCCCAGCACAGGCAACTTTACCATTCTCACCTGCATCTTTTCAATCATCTCAAACAGATCTGTGTTCTGCAACAGAGACAGAGAGTGAGGTCAGTCCTGATAGGGTCCAGTCCATCCTGCCAAGCCCCACCCCAGCCTTGCTGGTCCCTTCAAGTCCAATGGCCACAAAGGCACAAGTCAGCAAGAGGAAGTGGAGGGAAACATTGCGAGGAGGCTCTGAGCAGCAGACTCCCAACCCTCAAAGTTTGGCCGACTGCCAAATGAGGCGAGCCCAGAGCCCAGGTCCTGGGCAAATGCTCCCCTTGGTCTGCTTACCTGAGGGCGACAGACAGACCTCCCCATGCCCACCAAAGTTTTTCAGTGCTAGGATTGGCACATGGATCCTTGAGAGCCCCAGGTCCTAGCCCCAGAGATGAGCCCAGCCAGGGTGGGAGGGAGGGTTTGTGTTTCCACTCATCTCTTCTGGAAGGGGACTGTTAACCCAGGCCACAGCTTAGAAACCCCCTTCCCCACAAGTAGTGTGAGCCAGGGGCTCTTTGGGGACAGGATGCTGGGCTGTTTGTTGGGCCTACACTTGTGTGAGCACATATGCATCCCTCACACCCAAGACAGCCTGTCCTGAGGCTAGCCAGGGTGCACGCGGGGTTAATCCTCATCTGCCAGCTGCTTGGCAGCATGGGCCTCTCCAGCGCCAACTCCCTACAAGCCTTCCTGGAAGGCAGTATCCCTGCTGGCTGGTGGCTGGCAGGCTGGGGGCCAGGCCTAGGAAGCCCCCAGAGTCTCTAGGATGGGACCCCTCCCCCAGCCCTTCCAAGGCTCAACTCAGTCCCCAGTAAGGGCACCACCTGAACTCACACGCATGTGCTATGAGGCTGTATACCAGGAAACACACTCATGCATACACACATATACAGGCACACACACTCTGTCCTCTTCCTGCTCACACACAAGAGGCCTGCACACCAATATTTAAACGGTTTCACTGTACCACGCATACATTTTGCATACTAAGAAATACAAACGCTATGATAGTAATTCTTAGAGCTATACACTAACAAAGATGCATGTTGTTATCCCGAGCTGCACAGTACACCCACTCGCACATACACAAGTCCATGTTCCTGAGAAACACAAACACAAACCCACCCCTGTGCGGGCCTGTACCCCAGTAACTGTGTACAATGCTACACAAATACACAAGACCACACTCCTGTCTGAGACCAAGAGACATACCGATGTACACAGGGATAACAGGGGGAAACAGACAGAACCCCACGCACCTCCCCATGACCACACACGCTGTACTACATACACACACGACACACATCATCCCAACACACAGACGAGTTCTGAGAAAAGGAAGACGCACCAGGCAACTGCAGGAGTTGTTAGTCCCCAGTGGGGAGGGGCACAGGCCTGTACCTCACGCCCACCTGAGTACAACCACCCACCACTCACACCATACATGAGCGCACACACACGCGTATACACGCGCATACACACACACACACACACACATATACACATGCACGTACACACAGCCCTGGCGAAGGTCATGAGATACCCCAGGCCCACACTCTGCCTACAGAACAAGACACAGCTTTGAAGTCCACCTCGGGAGTCCCCAGGACAGGTCCCCATGGTCACCTATGGCCACACCCAGAACCTCAGAGTTTGGAAAAGATGACACCCATGGGCAGTTCCGGCAGATACGGCAGACTCACACCTGTAAACAAACACACCTGTCAAACCCGACAGTGTAACAGCAACACTGCCATCTGTTTTGGTCAGCCAGTGAGACACAGCAATGGGGGCACCCCGCTGAAGGTGGCCAAACAGTCAGACAGTCAGGCACAATGAAACGTGACGCCTTGCTGCACAGGGAATCACAGCCACATAAACACTGACACATGGGACTGTCACCCAGAGTGTACACACAGCAACAAGTAACACCCACAGTTAGTTTCACAGACAGCAAGCAGACGCCCTGACACATGGCGAAGGGAGGCCGGGAGTGATGCGGCCAGGAGGGGCATCCCACCTCACGGGACAACAACACAAAGTTACACTGTGACAGTCAAAGCCCCAATCGGGGCAGGGAAGACATGAAGTGGTTCCGACAGCAGTTTCACCCAGTACCACTGCATCCCGGAGCCACAGTGCTACCACATCTGTTCCGTGGGCAGCTGTGGAAAGAGCCCAGGGCTGTGGACCCCAGGGCGGGGTGCGTCCTGTGGCCGCCGTGGCCGGGTGTCAGCCCAGGAGCCAACACACCCACCAAAGCGAGCCTCTCACGCCCGGCCCGGCTCGGGCTCCAGGGAAGTGGGGCTGACCCGGCCCCGGGGTCCCCCCTCGGCCTGGCCGCCCCAGCCGGGGTCCTCACCTGCCAGCCGGCCCCAGCGGGTAGTGAGCCCCTCCGCGGACGGCCGGGGGTCGCTGGGGGCCGCGGCTGCGCCATCCCGAGCCCGGCCCGGCCCCGGCCCCCGCCCGGGACGCGCTCCAGCTGACCCGGCCGGCTTCGGTCCGCGCGCGCCCCGGCCCGGGCCCCGCAGCCCGAGCTCCGCGTTCCCGGCTCCCGCGGCGGCCGCGCTGCCTGCGCTGGGCTCGCGGGGCGGCCGGGCCGGAGGGGGCGGGGCGCCAGGTACGGGCGGCGCGGGACGGGGGCGGAGGCGGCCGGGGCGGGGCCTCGGTGTCCCCGCCCCCCTGTGAGGCTCGGCCCGCGGTCCCGGAGACTGCGCCTGCGCGCAGGAAGCCCCAAGCTGGTCGGCTCTCCGGGACATCCCGCCTTCTCTGTCTTTGCTGACCGTACTTAGCCTCAGGGCCTCAAGGACCAGGTTTCTGGGACTGGCTGTGAAGTCCGGCAGCAGAAAGATTTACCGTGGAGACTGGGCTTTTCTTGAGCACTTACTTAATGCCGGGTCCTTCAGTTGTCTCATCGTCTCGCCATAACCCAGGGTATACAAATATTACCCCCAGTATGGGGATGAGAAAACTGATTGCAAGAGGAGAAATCAGTTGTCCGAGACCACACAGCTAGGAAAACCAGGAATCCAGGAAAGGATCTGGTGCTGCTTTGGGGGCCCTCCTCCCTCCTCACCTCTCTACCCACACCAATGCCTGACGGTGGCTGGCTGTACCCTTCTCTCCCCAAGCCCCTGGCCCGAGGGGGAAGGCTGCCACAGTGCCTGAGAGGAAGGGATATGCCAAGGTCCCATGGTATGGAGAAAAGGGTACAAGCAGACTTCAGGACATGTGGGTTCTAGCCCTGGCCTGGCTACAACTTACTGAGGGGTCTAAATGAGTCCCTGCCTCCACAGCAGGCCCTTCCAGCTGACTCTGCTGTCCTGGTGTAGCCACTGTGTGTGTGTGTGTGATGGTGGTGGTGGGGACAACAACCTCCCAGCAGCTTCCTGAGCTATGGCCGGGTTGACATCAGCTGCTTAGGAAGCTGCAGGGACAGAACTACCCAGCAGCTCAGTGCCAGACCTCTCTGCAACTTCCCAGAAATGCTGCCCACCCCTTCTGTCCCCAGGGCCCAGAGCTCCTGGAAGGAAGGCAGTGCTTTCCTTTCTCTCCCACACCTGGCCCTGGTCTGATTTGGGCCCAGAAAGCCGGCAGGAACTCCGGAGATGTGTGTTCCAGACACAGAATAGCTTTGGTTTTAATAATTAACAGCAGCAAATATTGATTTACACAGCCACTTCCAGGCCTGCATGCTTCCGGGCACCCATTGAAATGCAGACAGAGGAGCATCAATTCCCACACTGGCCCTGGGGGAGGCTAGACCTGCTCACATCACCAGCAATGTGTGTGTGCCAGGTGGAGTGGAGGGTGTGCACATGTGTACAAGACAGCTTTCTGTGTGGACATATGTGACTCCAAGGCCGGCTGTGGCTGTGTGAGTGTGGATGTATTATGTTTCTGGAGCCTAGGTATGTGTATTTGTTTGTTTGTACATGTGTATCATGTATGTACCAGTCTCTGAAGACATTTACAGACAGATTCTTATGTCTGTGACCATGCCCCTGTGCCTAAGTGTGGGCAGTCTGGGTATGACATGAATGCAGACCAGAGCCCTGAGTGGAAAATCCCTGTAAGAGGGTGGGAGAGTCCTGCATAACTCAGTATCTGTTCAAATGTGGCTTCCTAAAGAAAAGGGAATGCCCCCTCTGGGTATCTGTCCAGCCCTGGGAATACAATAATGATGATAAAAGTTCTGTTTCCTAATTTCTTCCTTCCGCACTACAATCACAGCCATTGCCCAATGACAAACTGGCAAGGTAGACAGAAAAGATAGTGTCAGCTCTATGATACAGATAAAGAAACAGTCAGGGATTTGCTCAGGGAGGTCACTTGTCTCTCAAACTGCTTCCATCAATGCTATAAATGTGCCCAGATTTAGGGGTGCTTGGGAGAAATGGAGAATATATTCCAGGCCTGGGTTTTCTCAGCCCGCTATTGGCTTGCTGGGGACTCCAGATGAATCATTTAGTTAGTCTCTCTGAGCCTGGGTTCCTCCCAGACTGGGGCTTGACTCTGGGAAGGGGTGCACTACTGGGATGGGGTTTTGGAGTTCACTGTGTGGTCTGCATTGGCACCATCAGAGGTTGCCAGCCAGATCGGGAGGAGGCAGCTCTGTGCTAAATCAGGAAGGACCTTGCTGGGGCTGTCTGAGTATAGGACACAGGCAATGTGCTGCTCCAACCTGCTTCCCAGATGGGAAAACTGAGGCCTAGAGGGGAGAGCACAAGCAATGTCCAGGGGCACAAGACCTTGTGAGAAACCAGGCTTCTCCTGGCATGCCCAGGGAGAGAATGATGGGGAGCCTCATTCAGGAGCCCAGCTGCTTGAGTGAGTGGCCCCAGGAGCCACGTGGCCCAGTGCTGGAATGTTGCTCAGGCACAGAAGGCAGAAGAGGGTCTCAGGAGCCCCCTTCTGCTGCCACCAGCACACCCACTTGGGAGCCCCATGGAGGTCGTGATCCCACATACACACACTGCTCCCTGGCTATCTGCCCTCCCAGTCTAGGAAGGTGCCAGGCCAGAGCTCTGGAGGAGGAGCCTGGCTGAGCCTGCTCTGCTTTTTCCTGGATGTGTGACCTTGAGAAGAGCCCTTCACCTCTCTGAGCATTTGGCTTCTCATATGGAGGACACCTACCACCCTGGGGGTGTGCTTTGGAAACTGTAGAGTGCATCACCCCTGCATTGAGAGGCCATGAGCCAGTCTGGGCACACACCAAGCCTGGCCTCACTGTATCCAACCTGCTGGACTTCCGGCAAGTAGCAACCTCCCTGAGCCTCGATTTTCTCTATTCCAAAATGGGGCTAAAGAGAGTGGCTACTGCCTAACACGACTAGGGGAGAATGAAACGAGACACTGCACGGGAGGTACTAAGTACTAGAGGCTCAGAGCAAATGCCCCTGGATATCTGCAGGTTCTGGCATTTGACAGTCTGCACAAGGAAACAGTGTTCTCTCTGCCAGGCCACAGCTCATTGGGGGCGGGGTCTGTGTCCGGTGGATTAAGCAGGTGCTGGGAACACCTTGAGTTTTGGCGATAACCACAGGAAGAGCCTCATTTATAAGGTTCTTGCTCTGGGCCAGAGAGTGTGCCTGGGCTGCTGGACTGGGACTTTCATCTGCTCTCAGCATGGCCTCTGAAGCCGGTGCTGTCATACCCTGGGTTTTCTATGGCGATGTGATAAGTAAGATAAAGAGAGATTGGCCATTTGCTCCCAGCCTCTCCCAACAGTTCTCCAGACCCTGGTTCAACCTCAGAGGGGCCAGAAGGGGGTTAAACCCTAGCAGCATCTAGCCAAGCAGTCTCCATTTCTCCACTCCATCTCCCAGCCACTGCGGGGGAGGGGGCAGACCAGGGGCTGCAGGTATGGGGCTGTGCTTACCTTAGGGTGGGCTGAAGCTGTATAGGAGGGAACTAAGTCCACTTGTGACAGGTCTAGTGCCTGAGGGACATGTTGGTTTTGCCCATCACTTCTCCTGAAAGAGAAAAAGAGTCTGAGGTCAGGGAGAGCCCCAGATTGGGAGAAAGAATCTCTGGGAGGAAAAGTCACACTCAGAGCTGAGCTGGCGGGGGCGGGGGGTGGGGGGAGAAGAAATACGTAGCATGGAGGGAGCATCCTGAGTTCCTCAGGAGGAGGGAGACGGGGACTTCCCGGCAGGCACTCCTTCTTGGAGATCAGAGGTGGTCTCTCCCCAAATTCTCCTCTGGCCTCCAGCCCCTAGGGGCCCATTCTGAAGAAGGAAAGACTGAGGCAGCAGCAGGGAGAGTTGATGCAGAGGACTGAGCTGTCTGGACCAACAGGGGTAGACCTCCCCCTTCCCCACCTTCAGGGAGCTGGCAGTCTTAGGGCTCAGAGCACCTGGGCTACTGCTATTTTTAATGAACCTCAGGTGAGCTGGGCCTGTGCTGAGCCTCCCCCCAGGCCTGAGGGCCTGGCCTCCTCCCCACTGCTATTCCGACCTCAGGACCAGGACCTGGATGTACAGAGGTCACATAGCTGACCTGTAGCAGGCCAGCACCTGCCCACATCTCATCTGACTTGGACTCTGCCACACCCACAGCCCTCTGAGGAAAGAGCAGGTCTGGTGAGAGTGAAGTCAGCGCCTGTCACCCTCAAAAGCCTGCCAAAGCCACCTCTGGGGTTAAGTAGAAGAAGCGCCTGGCAGTTTCCGGATCCAAGGAGCCTGGGGTCAGGTGAGCAGGCCCGGCTTCCGCCGCTGCCTAAGGCCACCGTGACGTGGCTGCGTTCCCCACCTGGGTCCCATCAAGCGAGGCCGGTCCCACGAGGGTGAGTCACCCACCAAATGATGCTCAGTGGCCTGTGGCAGGCTTGAGTCAGGCAGAGCTGGGGCTTCCACGCCCCACGAGGGGAAGGGCCTGCAGGAACTGGCATAGGAAGGAGACTCCAGAAGTTCTGAGTCCCTCAGCGTTCCCCTGGGCCCAAAGGAGCCATCCACAGTCCTGCTTGGTACTGGGGGGCCCCTCCACCTCTTAGGGCAGTCCTTGACCCCAAAGGATAGATCTGGTAGCATTTCAAACCCACGGCGTCAGTGTGGGCGAGATGTTTTCAGACACTGACTGGCTCTGTGGCTTGACACCATGTCACAGACACTTTCAGCCTCAGTTTCCAAAAAAATTCATCACAGAGAGTGGGCAGCTCGTTTCACTCCATGAATACCTTCTTATTTATTATTCATGATGAACTCTGGCTCTCCTGGTTAGGGTTCCATGAAATGTTGGTTGAATGATGGATGAATGAGTGTCAGCAGTAGAGAGTCACTGAAGGGCTGTGAGCAAGGAAGGTGCTCTATCAGGGGAGAGGCTGGAGATGAGGACAGAGGACTACAGAGTGGCCCACAGAAATGTCCAGAGGCTGCCATGGGGGGACTCTGTTGAGCCACAATTGTGCCTGGAACTCTATCAGGCATGTTACACCCTATGACAGCGCTAGAAAGTTGGTATTACTTATCCCCATTTTCACAGATGGAGAAACCGAGGCTCAGAGAGGTGAGACCACTCCCCTACCATGTAGGGGAGCTGGGATTAAAAGCACATGGCTGGCCAGTTCCAGTGGGGTGAAGAGCAGAGTCTCAGGAAGTCCTGGGTTTTAAAATGAAGTGAAGCTGGTGGTGGGGCCCACTGTCCCGGGGTGGCCTAGCTAGGTGTGGTGGTGGTCAAGCTTGGTGAGTGCTGCCCTTCTGTCTGCCCCTCTCAAGACCCAGGCTCAGACACTGTCTGCTGCAGCAGCTCCTAACATACCCTTTCCAGAACATTCTCAGTCTGCCGCAGGTCCGGTATCTGTCACATTCATGACTGCTCACATCGACACAGGACCAGGGAGGCTTCTCAAGGTTCAGGTACCCTGTCTTCCAACTTGGAGCCTGTCCTGGACTTTCGCTCCCTCCTTCCTGTTGGCCAGAGTCCTACCCCTCCTAGGTGCCACCCCTCCAACCCTTTCCCCCACCTGCTGAGCTCAAAAGGAAAGAGAGGGGCTCTAGGATAGGAGCCCAGGGGGAAAGCCATCACCCACTCTGAAGGGTAAGAAGACAGAGAGTAATAGGAAAAGCCTTGCACCATCTTATTTCACCCTTGCAGCTCCCCAGTGCAGCATGTACTCATCTACCACCTGCGTTGCACACAAGACTCAGAGAGGTCCAAGGTTACAGGCAGTAAGTGAAGTCCAAGGCTGTGCCGTGAACCCAACTGTGCAGTGAAGATGCTGCACCCTTAAGATGATGCTCCACGGACTGAGTAAACAGAAGCTGCTCAATAAAAGCCCTTGAAGCAGTGAATGAACTCAGCCTCTCCTCCCTACCCTCCTGGCAGCCCCCTCCTTTCCATCACCCATTTCTGCCCCACCTTTCTAGCCCCCAACTCCTTTCTACCTCTGGCCTCTACACACCTCCCCCAACTTAGTCATTGTCCCCCTCTTCATGAGCCTGAACCTCTCTCTCTGACCCCTCTCTCCTGCCCCACCTTTATCTCCTCCTGGTCTCTACCTTTCCACTCACAATGGGGCTCCCCAAGTCTCTGTCCCTTCCCTGCTTCTCAAAACCTTAACTGACCCTCTGGCTCAGCTTACAAAGCTTTACGTCCTTCTTCTTGTGACACCTGCAGCAGCAGGGAGGGGCCCAGAGCGTGCCTGATTGGGAGGTGGGAAACTGCCCCTCTCCGTCCCCTGCCACAACCCAAATCACCTGCATAGCACCCACATAGCACCCACAGTTCACACGGGCATTACCTCCTTCCGCCGCTACAGCAGGAGATTGAGGTTGGACTTCATTAACCTTTTATCCAGATAAGAAAACTGAGGCTCAGAGAGGTTAAGTGACAAGCCCAAGGTCACACACCAAGGAAAGGGGTGGGCTGAGGTTTGACGCCTGCCCAGGGTTCCCTCCTCTGAATACGCCCCAGCTGCCCTCAACTCAGGCCCCTAGTCCAGTCACCTGGCCTCCTGTCCCATTGACCTCCTATCACAGCCCTAGGCCAGTCCTGCCCTGTCTGGCCTAAACAACTGCCTACTGTCTTTTCTGACACATGGAAAGGCAGCCAACTCAGAAGAGGTGACTCGCTCCAGGTCACACAGAAAGCTGCAGCCAACCAGGAGTCTGGGCCAGGCACATTCTGGGGTCACCTTCAACACCTGAGGCTGCATGGCTACCAGCCAGCTGGCCCAGCCCATCCCTCTTGGAGGACCCATCTTTCCCTGGGAAAGGGCGAGGCAGGGGGGTGAGGGGCGGGCCTGGCGGAAGCTGCTGTTGACTGCTCAGCTCTGGGGTTTCTTGGCAACAGTCACCGGGCTCCTCCTACTCCCTTATCTCTGCAGCAGGTAACAATAATCGTTCCTTTAGAGAGCAGCGCTTTGTACTTTGCAAAAGCCCTTTTCATCTGTTCTCCTGGGACTCTCACCGGAACTGGCAGGAGATAAGGGAGGGCCAGGATACCCAATTCCCAGAACAGCAAACTGAGGCTTGGAGAGCTTAAACTCCTACCTGTAAGTGGCCCAGCAAATTAGCAGCAGAGCAGGGCACCAGATGTGGGAGGACCCCAGGGAGCTCTATGCCACCAAACAGCAGGATCCTACCCAGGCACAGTGGGGGAGATAGATGGGGAGGCCAAGGACAGGTGACTGGATGCCTCCCTGGGGTGTGTCCCCCTCTGTGAACCAGCTGGAGGGCAGTAGGAGGATCCCATCCTTTTCTCTCATCTGCAAAACTGTCACCCTGGGAGGTGACAGAGCCACCTCCCAGGGCCTCCCATGGCTGCCACGAGGCAAGAAGCACGTGCTGTAGGAGCGTTGGCTGTGATTATTGTGGCCATTCTCCTGAGAACCTAAATTTTGGGGTCAGAAGGATGGCCAGGCAGTCCTGTATGTACGAGCTGGATGGAGATCCCGGGTGGGTCTGGCCCTTGCAGACCCTTCCCCCAGGATGGACCGCACACCTCCCACTCCTGTCCAGCCAGCTGCCCTAGGCTGCAGGTGCTCTCCAAATGTGCTACCTGTTCACACAAGCAGTCCCCGCTGCTGGGGGTCCCTTCTCACTCTCTTCTGCCTGGTGACCATTCATGCTTTGAATTTCAACATAAATAGGTGGAACACTGTTGACTACAGAAGGTGATTGATGACATCAAGGCAGAAAGACCATGACAGGGACCATCTTGAGGACCCCCACCTAGCACACGCATTGGGAAACCAGACATGGGTGGCTGGGAGGACTCAGCAAACCAATGAACAGAAAACTGAGACAGATTTGTCAGGGGCTATCCAGGGACAGTGGCTTGAGGGGCTCAGGCCAGTCTGGTACTGGTCAGAAGTGAGGAGGGATTTGCCCAAGGCCAGGTCCCTCAGGTCTCCCTGGTTCCCCTGAAACCAACTACCTCTTTCCACCTGGTGATCTGGGTAGCTTGGGGAGGGATACAAGTGAGAAGGGGGCTTGGAGGCTACTCTTCCCCTCCCTGGATGGGGCTGGGGAGCTACCAGAGCCAAGTCTCCCAGCCATGGGCATGAACTTGGGGTCTAAAGGAACTCTAACGGAAAGCTGGCGGGCCGGGGGTGTGGCTCAAGTGGTAGAGTACCTGCCTAGCACGTGCAAAGCCCTGAGTTCAAAGTATAAAAAAAAAAAAAAAAAGCAAAACAATGCAAAGCTGGAGCCCAGTGGCTGCCCCAGAACTGCCCTTCTCAGGGGGTCACAGAGGCCCATTGTTTTCTGAGCTCAACCATCCGGCTCTGCCCTCCCCCTGCCCCATGCCATGTCTGCCTGTCCTGCCCCTGCTGAAGTTACAGGGAAGGTGGCGAGTGCAGCCAGGTGAGCAGGTTTCCAAAGTGAGACTGGAGGACCGGGACCGGGCCCCCCTTCTGTAGTCAGACCAGCAAGCCTCCTTCCCCAGACACACCTTGGCCTCAGTCAGGACTCAAGTGAGATTAGGATGGGAGGTGGGAGTGGGAGACACAGGAGTCACTGTTTGTTGAGTGGAT